CCCAGCTTCACGCCCGACCGCCTTTGTCTTCCTCGTGGCGATGTTTACACATCGCACCAGGTTACTCATTTGAGTCTGAATCGACCTGGGGGGGAGGTCCAGGGCCGGTTCAGATAATCGTCACTGGTGTTGGCCTTGAGTGGGAATCGAACTCGGGTCCCACACATACACACACACACACTTTCACACGAACTTTCTCTTCTCCCACTCTTTCACGTGTGCGAAAACTTTCGCTCACACGCACACACTCCATCACTCTCTCTCTCACACACACAATTCTCTGACACGAAGTTTTTATACTGACTTTCACACACACAACTCTCTTTCACACACACACACACTCACATACACTCCGGCACATTTTTTTAAACATAAATACTTACACACACACACACACTCTCTGACATAATATTTTATCACTCACTCTGACACATACACACAAACTCTCTCACACACACATGGACACATACCGACTTTATTTTGAACACAAAGACAAATTATCCCCCCGTATAGATTTTAACAGACTTTTGGGCCAAGTGCTATTAGCGAGCGCTTATGAAAGGCCGGAACGGCACACGAGGGGGTGGGTGACTTGATTCACGTACATAATTTCCCTTACGCACACATACACTGTGACACACTATTTACACACACACTTAAACACACTCTAAAAACAAAACACGTTGTTGTTTTTTTAACACACACTGATACCCACAAGGGGGTGATGTGGCCAGAACCTCGCCCAACCGCCTTTATCTCCCCAAAAGTAGATGTTTACACACCGTACCAGGTACTCATTGAAGGCTGAGTCGATCTAGAGGAGATGAGATCACTCACAAGTGATGTTCGCCGTGGCCGGGAATCGAACTCAGGATACCGGGTTCGCAGCACACTGCGCCACCGTTATAACACACACGTTCCTACACACACACACACTTAGGCGGACATTAACATACATTTAGCACACTCCACACGCACTCTCCCTGAATACACATACACTGTCTCCCCGGTGCCGATGTTTATACGCTGCACCAGGAATTCATTTAAGGCCGAACCGACCTAGAGGGTCAGGACATGTTCCAAAGATATCACTTGCCACTGGTGATAGCCGTGGCTGGGAATGGAATTCACGTTGCAAAACTTTGTAGAGCAGTGCGCTAACCACTGCGCCACCACTCTACCTATACACAGACACACATACACGCGAAGACGTAGATATACACACATACACAACCCACACCATCCTTCTCACACACCCCTCTATCCCGCCCTCTATCACGCCTCTCCCTTCATCCATCCCCTCTTTTCAACCCCTTCTCTCCCTCCATCCTCTCCTCTACCTTCATCGATCCCCCCTCCTCTCCTATTCTCCCTCCCATCATCCCTCCCATCATTCATCCCCTCCTCCTCCTCCCCTACTCTCCCTCCCTTCTTGCACCCCCTCCTCCTCCTCCTCTCCCTCCCCCCTCCTCCTCTCCATCCCCTCCGACTCTCCCAACCTCCATCATCTCTCCCTCCTCCACAGCAACAATTTAAACCTTCCAGGAGGCCAAGTTGTGTGCGCCTATGCGTGTGCATACACGTGCACACGCACGCACACTCCGAAGTGTAATACACTGCGTTACCAAAGACAAAGATCCCCCATATAGCCTTAACAAACTGCTGGGGCAAGTGCCCTGAGTGAGCACCGACATTAAAGGGCAGATTTGGCACAATGAGGTGGGGGTGGTAAAGCCGCTACCACGCCCAGCCCCCTTTGTTTCCCCCAGTGCTAATGTTTACACATCACAGCAGGTACTCAATTAAGGCTGAGTCGACCTAGGGGAGACCTTGGACCGGTTCAGGTATCACTCGCTACAGATGTTGGGCCGCAGCCAGGAATAGAAACTCCACGGCTCCACAGCTCCATCCATAGACAAAGAGTCACCGTGTAGCCTACACACATTGCTGCAAGTGCTGTTTGCAAGCGCCTATCACCGTATTCCCGCTGTAATGAATACAATTTGAAATCGGAAAATGTAATCTTTGGATTATAAGACGCATTTTATTTATTTATTTATTTTTAAAAGCAAAGCTGGGGTGCGGTATATGTATGTGCACACGTGAGACCATCTTCGTCTACCTTCGACACCCCACCTTTGTCGGGAACAGTCGTGTCGTGATTAGCGCGGTGCGCTACGAACCCGGCGATCCGAGTTCGATTCCCGCTCACGGCCAACACCCAGTGACGATCATTTGAACCGGTCCTGGGCCTCCCCTAGGTCGACTCAGCCTCAAATGAGTACCTTGTGCGGTGTGTAAACATCACCACTGGGGAGACAAAGGCGGTTGGGCGTGGTGCTGGCAACACACCACCTTGTGCGCCGTTCCGGCCTTCATAGGTGCTCGCTAACAGTACTTGCCAGAACAGTCTGTTAAGGCTATATGGGGGGTCTTTGTCTTTGTATACCTTTGACACTGGGCACACGTTTGGGGTGCGTCTGACTTTCTAAAGCATCTCATATTCCGTAAAATACGATAACACACACGAACTTGCATTATCCCTCAAATGTCCCCATCCGACATTGTCTTTCAATATCTCTTTACCGCAGTAGATATAATCCTTCACCCAGAATAATACAGCAGGACACAAAGATCTGGGTCCAGTTGCCGAGTATAATTGTGTCATTCGGTTCTCACTGGACATTGAATGTACAATCCACTGCTGGATGAGGACTTCCACACGCCGTGAGGATCGTGAAGGTTTTTTGTCCATACTCACGCTGGTCTGTGTGAGTAGGTGAAGTGCGTGAGCACGTGGGAGCCGAGAGCACGACTTTGCTGCACTGCCATCTGCTGTGCACAAAGATGCATTTAAAAACTGCATTTACACGTTAGATAACTCTGTGGAACTATTTTTTTTGTTCCTGGCTAGTAAGTCTTATTTCTTAATTGCTTATGCATCAACAGTACATAAATGACTATTATTCGCCACAAACTTTGCTATTGTGATCAGGACAATGATATTTTGAAATTTACGTATTTTCCAGAACATTCCAGATAGATTCAGTGCTGAGTAAACTTGGAGTAACTTCTAGAACATTCCAGAACTTTCCAGTAATATAAATAGTAATATAAATACAGGGGCCTTAAGCCCACCAGTTCAGTTTAGTTCCAGCTGCCTAAGTGGATACATATCTGCATTTTTCTGAGATATTTCAATGCGCTGTTCATATTTTAATAAACGTTAATATCAATGTTACTCTACAGAGTAGTGGGTCGGTATGTGTGGACTATGGCTTAACTGCAAAAAAAACCTATCTGCACAGATGCATACGGACAAGAGAAGTATTATCAAACAGGAAGAATTAACGGTGCAATGCATCTCATCTGTTAAATATCTGCAGGATTGAAATCGATTGATCCTGGCTGCAGACATTGGTAGGTCACAAATAACGAAGATAGAGCAGTTTCACTGTATTATGCATACCGTGATGACAAATAAAGGACTTAAGTCGTGTAGGCAGTTTGAGCAACTTTGGATAAGACTTAAGATCCTGCCCATACCCGAGCATGGAGTGCATTCGCCTGTTCAGCTCTTCTTGCGCATTCGTCCTCGCTGCTGCTGTGCTTGGACGACATGACAACAGAATGATCCGCGCCACGTGGATCGCGGCGTTAATGTGCGCGGTGGGACGGAGTCGCCAAAAATAAAGAAATTAATTACGATTTTGACTTTCGTTTATTCGGGACCCCGGGGTCCCGCCATCAGGTTAAATTATTCAACCAGCAAAGTCTCACCGACTCTTACGACTTTTGTTTCAGGAGGGTCCTGCTATACATTGGGATGTTTGGTCAATTTCTTCTACAATTTATAGTTTTGCTTTTTTTGGCAGGAATACCAGAGCACCCCGAGAAAACCCACCACGAAGCGCGAGGCGATTGTACTCCTGAAAGGTCCGCACAGGGTGGGTCCATGAACCCGCTTGTTGCGAGTTCCTGCTTTGCATGGCCACCTCGCGGCAGCCCAGCTGGGTTTCGGGAGGTCTCAATCAATGCCGTGATCCATCAACCCTTGCCCCCAAGGCGCTGGGTCACTAAATATTCTTACACAAACACCACGGCCATGGGAGGCGCGTTATTGATCTCACGTCATCGTTATTGTTGCATCATTACCAATAATATCTTTTTTTTTTATCAAAGCCGCGGTTTCATAAACGTTTAGTTTGAGGCGTGCGTTTCGATCGCCACCTCGTGGTGAACTTCTGAACAGCTTAATCCAGGCTTAGGATCGCTTACGATTATTTCGGGTCCGTTGCGAATGCCCGTGGCTCATAAAACCAGGCTAAAGCTCCATCAGTACTGTGTGTATTAGGGTTCAGTGATTATGAAGGCTCATAGGGCCAGAATAATTTAGCATTATGGTTTAGTAATAACACCCGAGGCTCAGAGTGTTGTTATCCTACCCCCACACCTCCGATTAGCATGGTTGGTTTTATGTACGGTGCGAAACAAGTTCAACATACATACAGTAATCAGACATCCTGAAGATATGGTTCACTGTTGATGACCGACGCTCATACAGACCAAGGCGACTATAGAAATGTTAAAATCTAGCTAGAAATGTTAAGGTTCATTGTTAATTACCAAGACTCAAAGGATCGTATGAAGGCTTCCTGAATGAGGCTTCATTTTGAAGGCATCCAACTCAGAGCCAATCAAAGGCTCCAACACATAGACCGTTAACACCTGAAGTTCATAGAGCCAGACTATGTCAGCCTTCAGACTTACATCTCAAAGAACCAAAATCCTTGGTCGTAACCTAAGGGCTCAATGACCGAGGCTTACGGAGCGACATTAAAAACTTCCTTTGGGGTGCCGTGTTAATGTCCAACGCTCATAGAACCACATGAAGGTGCTCGTAAGAGTTCACCATTAATAACCGAGGCTCATGGAACCAGATGAAGGCACTCTTAAGGCTCACTGGCTCCCACCACACATGAAAACGATGACAAAAGGGGCATTGCCAAAGCACTGCTTTATTTTCACGTTCAAAACCGAGCTCGCAAGATGAGGTATGCGGGACATTTGTGCACGGGTCCATGTACACATCAATTGTGCATGTATACACGCACACCAGTGTGTGTACGCACTACTCACTACCATCATTGTGGAGCTGCCCTCACTACCCCCACTGCCCCAGCATAGAGCTGCCCTCAGTGGAGCTAGGCTCATTGCTCCAGGGTGAAACGCTGAAAGCCTGGCCTCAGGCGGTTCCAGGCCGAGGCATAGGGCGGCTGCTGTCCATAGCGGTCAAGGATTCGGACGACGGTGGCCACGCTGCGGGTAGGGAGCTTCACGCCGAGGTTGTGGTCCATGCTCACCAGCAGCAGACAGCACTCGCACACGTCCGGGAACGGGGCGGCCTAGGGTGGGGTAGGGGTGAGGGGGCAGAGACAGAGGTAATTGAGAAACATAAGAGGGAGATATAGGGACAGAGGGTGAAGGGGGGGGGACAATAGGGAGACAGAGGAAGAGGGAGACAGAGGGAAAGTAGAGGGAGAGATACGATGAAACAGGAAGACAAATTGTAATTGCTGCCCCCTATCATGTGAACCCGAGTGCTGCCCTCTGTTCCCGATGAACCCAGACCACATGACCCCGTGAACCCATCACCCCGTCCCACCTTCACACCCGGGGCAGCTGTGGGAAAGGCAGCCGTGATGCGGGCAGCCTCTGCTGTGAGATCGTGCAAACCTGGGCCAGACTCCAACTCCCTGGGCGCACACAGACACAACACAATCATCATCGTTACAGCCATCGACATCATCATCACCAGCATTATGACTGTGAGCATACCTACTAGCAGCATTACCACTGTCTTCATTATTTCATCATCAGTCATTAACATTATCATCACCACCACAATCGTCATTATACCATTATCAACATTCTAACCACCATCACTTTCATCACCATTACCATTGTCATCATCAGCAGCAACAGCACCACCAATATCATCACGATGAGCAACACAAGCATAGCTATCATCATAACTGTTATGACTGCCAACGCAATGATTACCGCGGTTATGCATGTGCGTCTACATACACGGGCACATGTACACGTTACACACCTATACCGATGTGCGCGGGTGCACGTGTGCTCTCACCCGCGTGTATGTGCGCTGATGAGCTTCGCCACCGCCTCCTTGACCTCCACCAGTCTCCGTTGTGCATCCTGCACGGCTGCTCGCTGCTCATTCACACAGGCACGTGCTGCACGTGCGGCCAGCCTCAACAATCCACCCTCCTCACGCTCATAATCACACTCTTCCTCCTGCTCGTCCTCCTCCTCCTCCTCGCATACGAGCACCGCTGCTGAGCCCGTCGGCGTGGTTGTTACCGGTGCAGCTGTCGATTTTGTTATTGTTTCCATCAGGTTTGATGTCACTGCTGCTGATGTTGAATCATCATCAACTGCTGCTGCTTCAGTGGCTGCTGCTTCAGTGGCTACTGCTGCTGCAACTGTTGGCAAGTTGGCCGTTGCTGTTGACGTGGCCATCACAGTTGTTTCTGGCGTTGCTGTTGGGTGTGTTGTACCCGCTGTATCTATTGTTGTTGTTGTAGTAGTTGTAGTAGTTGCAGCGTCAATTGTTGCTGTTTCAGCTATTGCTTCTGAGGCTACTCCTGCCGATTCGGCTGTTGACAGTCCGGGTATTGACGTCGCAATTATCGCCGTTGTTGTGTCACCTGTTGCAGTTGGATCTGGCGTGACAGGCATTGCGTCGGTCACTGCTGACGACATCACTCCCTCTGTGCCCGGTTGTAGTTTTTCGGTGTCTACCTGGACTTCTGCTGCATCTGCCTGGAGTGCTTGTGCGTCTGCATGTAGTGTCGCTGCATCTTCTTGTACTTCTTCTGTGTCCCCCTGCAACGTGTTTGTGTCCGAGTGTGGTGCTGCTGTATCTGCCTGTACTGCTGCTGTATCTGTCTGTAGCGCCGGTGTGCCTGGGTGTACTGCTGCTGCGTCCGCCTGTACTTCTGCTGTCGACGCATGTAGCGCCTTTGTGTCTGGGTGCAGTGCCGCCGTGTCCGCCTGTACTGCGCCGCCATGCTTCCACCACGCCTGGTACAGGCGGTAGTAGCTGTGGTAGGCCGCTAACGAGCAAACAACGTCACCGTCGCTCCCAGCAACTGGCCGCACATCTGGCAATAAACAAGAGTTACCGATAAACATGATGCGATTAACGTACAGCAATGAACAGCAATCAACATCGACCAATTAACACGCCTATGAGCGATTCGTCCAAAAAGTGGCAGGTCTCGTCAAATCTGTGAAGCTCAGCAAGTGTGTGACTGAATAATGCTTGGATGGGCGACCATCATGCAGCACAGGTTGGTTAGGCTATCGACTGTGGCTGCGTTGTGGACAGCAAACACCCATTGTTTTATTGTACTTCCATGCTCCCACATCTATGCTTTCCACCTTTACCAATCAGCACTGACCAGTGTGGTGAAGTATGGTCAAATAACTCCCCCCACATTGCTGTATGGTGTGGGGAGGCCCCCATCAACCAGGTGGACTGACAAGAGGACTGTGAAGGATGGCAAGCGAGGTCGGCTGTCAGGTTCATTATGGATGGGTCGGGTGTCAGGTTCACAATGGCTGGGTTGGATGGCAGGTTCATGGTGGCTGGGTCAGGTTCATTATTTAAGGCTCACCTGTCAGGTTCATCATGGGCATGTCAGAATCAAAATGACCCTGTCAGGTGTCAGGTTCATAATGGCCGTGTCGGGTCTCGGGTTCATAATGGCCGGCTCGGGCAGCAGGTTCATCATAACCGGCTCAACTGTCAGCTTCATAATGGCCGTGTCAGGTGCTGTTGCCCTCACCGGCAGGCAGGAGCAGGGCAGTGCAGGTGGTGAGCACGATCGCGTGCTGCGAGGAGCCGAGCGCGTGCACCAGGGCGGAAATGGAGCGCTCCGAGAAACGTAGTCCATCACCACGGAGACACGCCAGCAGGGCGGCTGTGACACGCACGCACGCCTCCTCCACCACCTACATGCCCGCATGCACACACAAACACGCACCGTCGGGCGTGTTCTATCCAATGCTGGGTGCAGGCCTTCCCCCCACAATCTCGTGATGCCACCCGGTCTCATTTGTAACGTCTCTCTCTCTCTCTTGTATGTTCCGGCTCATTCATATGATCAGTTTCGTATATTTTGTCCAGTTCAAAATGTCCATCTCATGATTTATTATTCGTTTCTGTTGTCTAATTTTAATAATGTTCCACGTGCTCCACGAGCCTCAACGTATATACGCGTACACACAACAAGCGTTCACACTTCTGTAGTATCTCTTTCAATGTGTTCATGTCTCTCCATCTCTCTCCTTTACACCGTTCCCTCACCCCCAGCCCCACCACCACCCCCCCCCTCCTCCCCGGGTCCCTCTCACCTCATCCTGTGCCGTGTGCGGCGTGGCCGTGGGCCCCCCGAGCAGAGCAGAGATCTGTCGCTCAGCTTCTTCGAGCCGAGCCTGCTGATCTTCTGACCCCTCCGTCCCCGGCAAAATCGCCGCGACCCCCAGCTCTGTCTGCCAATCGCGGAGCAGTGCGGGCGCTAGCGCGGAGGTCACGGGGTCGCGCAAGCGCTCGCTCACACGGCGCTGGACACAGCAGACGAGGGCGCGGCCCTGTGGAGCACGGAGACACACACAACACGAACACATGCAGCATGCACACACTACGTGTACACAGGCACATAAACAAATACGTACATGTACCTGGTCACTCTGTCACTCCTTCAGTTACTAAGTCCCTCCATTACCCACTCTCTCACTCCTTTACTCACAAACTCACCCATTCACTCCTTTTCTTGCTCACTCACCCACTCACCCACCCACCCATTCCTTCATTTATACACTCACTCCTTCACCCACCCACCCACTATTCCACTCAAAATCAGAATCTTTATTTTTACTGGAGGAATCCGATGAGCTGCAAAGCTCTTTTTCACATGTCCAGTAATTTTCACTCCTCCTTCAATCACCCACTCACCAGGAGGCTGGGGTATGGTTTGACGGTGCTGAGAGCGCGTTCCCACTGCGTGTCGCCAGCGAGGGCACGTGCGAGGCGCAGGGCGAGCGGCGCCGCGTCCTCGTGGGGGAGGCGAGCCCTCTCCGCCACCGCCAGCGCCGCGCTCAACGCCGACAAGTCAGCCCGCCGGGACAGCGCCGTGATGGCGTCGCGCGCGCGGCCCGCCGCCAGCTGGCTGCGACGAGACAACACGGGGACGCGCGGGGACATGACACACGGGGGAGGGGAGATGAGACACGGGGAACACGACGTGGGTTTATGGGACAGGAGACATCACACGGAAGGACGCAGGACATGGGAAACGGATATCCAGGGACACGGGACACAGGAAAAGAAACGTGGAGAAATGAGACACCAGAAGGGCATGATTACTTGGAGATGTGAGATATGGGAAACATGTGACGGCAGGGATAGAGACACACAAGACAAGGCACACAAGGTCACGAGGCACAAAGTCATCACGGACACGGCAACACCCAGACTCACATGTACACACAAATTCCAACAGACAAAATAATCACAGACACACCTAGGTACACACACATTTATGTACACACATCTCGAGGCTCGCACACGACACGCACACACATAGAATAACTTTACCAAATACACATGTATAGCTAATCTCATGCAAACATACAAACACACACAAGCACACGTACACATGTGCGGGCACACGTGTGTACGTGTGCCCACACGTACACATGTGCGGGCACACGTACCACTTGGCAGCAGCAGCGTAGTGGCCAGACGCCTCGAGCACAGCCGCCCACTCTTGGTAGAGCTCCCCCAGCATGGGGTCAGAGGGCGGCAGGCGCAGCTTAGCCAGGGCCACCGCCTCTCTGCACACACAAGGGCCAAGATCCCCCGTGTAGCGTTAACAGACTGCTGGGGCAAGCGCCATTAGGGAGGACCTAGGAAGGCCGGCACGACCCATGAGGGGGTGGGTGGTCAGTGCACTGCACTACGAGTTCCATTCCTGCTCATGGCCAACATCGGTAATTAAAATCTGAACTGGTCTTGGGCCTCCCCTACGTCGACTCAGCCTAAAATGGTGTCATGTGTAAACATCAGCACTGGGAAGACAATGGCGGCCGGGTGTGATGCTGGCGACCCACTGCATTGTACGCCGTGTCGGCCCTTCAGAGGTGCTCACTAACAGGGGAGATGTTTTTTTTTTAGATCAGACGGACCGATGCAGTACAGAAGGATGTGGAGCTGATTAGACTTGCCAATGACTGGTACCAGCGGCGTCAAGATCGGATTCTGTGGAGGAGGCTCGTGAAGGACGCTACTAGGGAGTTGGAGGCAGTCGCCTCCAGCAACAACGGAGCGCAGAGGAGCAATACTCGCAACAATGAGTGGAGTGCCGGGCAGCTAAAATGGAGCAAGTTGGCACAGAAGGTAGCACAGCTGGTGCATCTGCCAGTCATCTCAGTCAGTCAACCCAAGGCACCTCGGGCAGTCCGGTGACCTCCTATCAGCGAGCCTTCGACAATTCACGTGGCCTCAAGGTGCACCTAGCTTGGCACAAGCGCCGTGGTGACATCAACGGCATTTAGTGTAAAACAGCGTTTCTTAATGTTGCATACTTGTGTGTGTACGTGTGTGTGTACGTGTGTGTGTACATGTGTACGTGTGTGTGTGTACATCCATACCGGTAGAGGCCGTGCGTGCGCAGCAGGGCGAGCGCGTCACCCGTGCGGTGTAGCGCCAGCAGGAACGTCGCCGCCCGCACGGGCTGCTCCGCCCGCAGAAGTTGCTGCACATACGACTCGATGCACGCCGTCCACACGCGTATGCCCGCTGGGATCACATGAAGGGTCACGGGGTAGTATGAGGGGTCATAGGGTCACGCAATAGGTTACGGAGATCCACGGCGAAGTCGCACAAGAGTTCATGGTTTTACACAGCAGGCCAAGAGGGTCACGCATAAAATCACACCCGAGGTCGCGGAGTTAAACGAGGGTCACAAGGTCATGCAATTGGTGATGGCGTCAACAGCGAAGTTTCAAGCGAGGTCACAGAAGTTACGCGAGGGTCAGTGGTTCACAGGGTGGGGTGTTACAAGGGGTCGTGTAGTCAAACACGCGGCTACAAGCAGGATGACGTGTAGGTCTCCAGTACCTCTTGTTTCCCACATCTCTTTAGTATCTGCATCTGGTCTCTACCCGTGTGCCCTGGTGTCCTCACACGGCTCTCCGTGCCGCCGTATTCCCTGTGTTCCACCAATCTCTCATATCCTCCGTATCTCTCAGTGTCACCCATATCCCCCGTGTCCCCCCCCCCCCCCAGTGATTCCTGTGTCTCCAATGTAGCCACCCCCTGCCCCATGTCTTCCCTGTGCCCCTGCTGTGATGTGTGCCACTGGGCTCTCATGTGTCGATGGGCAGTGACGCAGTCCAGTGCTAGAGCGCTAGCCGCTTGTTGCAGAGGTTTACTGTTCGAATCCAGCAGTCGCCCTGATTAATACTGCGGGTGTAATAACCGTTATGATACTACGTGCTGTCTGCTTCACTCAAAGTGGACGTTTGAGATCCCTCTGAGGTCATTCGCAAGAGCAGGCCATTTTGTGCAAGCGTCTGGGTCCAAATTTGTAAAGAAATTGAAAATGTCACCGCAAATTACTCAATTGGGATTATACACACGGCAGCAATCATTGTCCCCGAATGGCAGACTAATGCCCCAGATCACTCTTGTCGACCATCCTGGTCTCTTGAGTTGTCACCTGGTTAAAAGAAAATAAACTTGAACCTTGAACTCATGTCTGCATCTCTTGGTGTATCCTCTCGTGTCTCCTGTGTGTCCACCCCACATGCATCCATTGCCCCCGTGGTCCACATTCCACCGATCTGCCATATTGCCTGCGTCTTTCAGTGTGCCTTGTCTCCATGTGTATCTCCGCTGTGTCTCCATTTCCTTCATGACGTGTTCCACTCATCCATCATATGGTCTGCGTGTTTCAGTGTCCCGTGTCTCCCCTGTGTTTCCGCAGTGTGTGCCCCCTTCCGTGTCCCCGTACCCATGGGCGCGAGGGCCAGCAGGCTCTCCGTCATCTCGCCGGTGCGCGCCGCATTTAGCAGCGCGGTCGCCACCTCTCCGCGCCACAGCAGCAGCTGGAACGCACTCTCAGCGTGACCGGTGGACAGCTGCTGGCGCTCTGCAACAGGCGCACACACACACACACACGCGCACACACACACCGCGAGCACACACACACGCACGTGTACAAGCTGAAGCCCAACGACGTGTATATGCACACAGGCGTGTATGTGTACATGATGGTGCCTTATCATGCGTACATACATATTTACAATCGTGTATACACAAGCACATTCACTCAAGGGAAAACGTGCACACACATGTACACATCGGTGCCATTGGGTAGTATGTACGTGTGTATGTGTGCACGCACTGACACCCACGCGGGCACGCATGTAAACACAGGCACGTGCACATGTGCACGTGCCTGTAAATGATCTTGACACCTCGTGAAACAGATACATGAGATCTTGAACGCACACACGCGCAAGCACGCATCACCGCATGCACGTGCTCACTCGTACACGAGATTATAGCAGGTTTGAGATGACGTGATGCAATTGTCAGAGGTTCGGTGTAACAAGGGTCAAGATTAAGTGTCAGAAGTTGTGGGTCTGGAATCAGGGGTCATGGGTCGTGAGGTCAGCGCGGGAGACCGACCCTCCTCCTCCAGCCACCGCGTCGCCTCTTCGCGGCCCAGGTAGAGCCCCAGGTGAAGCTGCTCGTCATCGTGTTGACTCACGGATTGGGGGGCGCCCTGTCCGACAGGGTCTGTCCAGGAAGTTGGGGGAGGGGAGGGGAGAATAGACATGGAAGCAGATGAGTGTGTTTCGATTTAAAGCTTTCGTGACTGCAGGGATTCATCTTCTTGGTTCTTTCGGTAAAGTCACGTAGAAGGGAAGTAATAAAATAATAAAAATAAAACATAATAAAACAATTCTCACGACGTTTCGGCCACAACGCAAGCAGCCGTCCTCAGGTGAAAACCAGGTCCGTCGAGGCGACAGAGTCTGAATGAAACAGCACACGAGCTTGGAGCATATATATAAGCTGGGCGCATTGACAAAGGAATTTGCATATCAAAAGGAATTTAGCATATTTATGGAAATGCAGGAATGTGATTAGTACTGCATATGCATGTGCATTATGCAGGATTAACAGCATCAAAGGGAGCTGCAGTTACTGCTGCTGCAGCAGTTGCTGCTGCTGCTGCTGCAGTTTCTGCTGCTGCTGCAACTGCAGCAACTGCAGCAGCAGCAGAAACTGCAGCAGCAGCAGCAGCAACTGCTGCAGCAGCAGTAACTGCAGCTCCCTTTGATGCTGTTAATCCTGCATAATGCACATGCATATGCAGTACTAATCACATTCCTGCATTTCCCATAAATATGCTAAATTCCTTTTGATATGCAAATTCCTTTGTCAATGCGCCCAGCTTATATATATGCTCCAAGCTCGTGTGCTGTTTCATTCAGACTCTGTCGCCTCGACGGACCTGGTTTTCACCTGAGGACGGCTGCTTGCGTTGTGGCCGAAACGTCGTGAGAATTGTTTTATTATGTTTTATTTTTATTATTTTATTACTTCCCTTCTACGTGACTTTACCGAAAGAACCAAGAAGACAGATGAGTGTGTGTGCGAGTATGCATCTATTGTCGCACTGTACATAGCCAACCGTGCTCATCGAAGGCACGGAGTACATGCATATGTAGTGGTTAGCGCACTGCGCTACGAATCCAGCAACCCAAGTTCAATTCCCGCTCACGGCAACACCAGTGACGATAATCTGAACCGCTCTTGGGCCTCCCCCTAGGTCGACTCAGCCTCAAATGAGTGTCTAGTACAATGTGTAAACATCGCCACTCGGGAGACAAAGGCGGCCCAGCGTAGTATTGGCCACCCACCCCTTCGTGTGCCGTTTCGGCCTTCATAGGTGCTCACTAACATCACTTGCCCCAACAGTCTGTTAAGGCTATACGGGGGATCTTTGTCTTGTACGCGTGTGTACGTTTGTGCTGTACCATGCAGGCGCGCCGCCAGTAAGAGGCAGTCGTTTTGCAGATCCTCGCGAGGTCGGTGGTCGCGCGAGACGGAAAGGGGGAAGAGGGAGCGAGCCTTCCTGCGACGCCGCGCATCTGCACACACATCGTCGACATCATCATCATCATCATCGTCATCATCAGCCATCAACCATCCACTGCTGGATCCAGGTCTCACCAGGCCATCGCCAACCTCTCACGGACTTGTAATGCAACAATCCATCTAGTTTCTGCACACGAGCTGATCTCATGGCTCCATCTCCACAATGTGTGACCTCTCGGAGGCGTTCCCTCCTTTGGCTGCCTCTACGTCGTTAGTCTAGACCACTCATGCCCATCGTCCTCTTCTACGTAACATTTGCATATACAGTTTACACATATACATGTATACACGGACTCACACTAACACTTAAAGATCACTTGTTTAGCCTTTAGGCTGTTGGTAGCAAGTGATGGCAACTAATGCCACACAACAGCGATAATAACAACCACCGCTATTCGTAGCGGTGACGTGTTAGGTTAGGCGCACACTGAGGCCACATGAAGTGTCGAAGGCTTGATGATCAATGCTATAAGGACAAAGATCCCCCGTATAGCCTTAACATACTTTTGGGGCAAGTGCTGTTCGCGAAAACCTATTCGCCGGCACAGTACACAAGGGGGTGGGTGGCCAGCACCACACCAGACCGCCTTTGTCTCCCTAGGGACAATGTTCACACACCGTACAAGGTACTCATCTGAGGTTAAGTCGACCCAGGAGAGGCCCAAGACCGGTTCAGATAATCGTCACCGGTGTTGGCCACGGAAATCAAACTCGGGGTCGCCGGGTTCGTAGCGCAGCGCGCTAACCGCTACACTACAGCTCCCCATGCTCACACACACACAGAGATGTACGCACGGCACCGTGCGTTCGCACAACTTCTCCTACCCAGCTCCAGCTTCCGTTTCTCCGGTCGGTCCGTGTCCTGCGCCGCGTGTGGTTGCGCCACCTGCAGTTGTGTCACTCGCTCCTCCCCAAGCTCAGAGGCAGCTCCCGGTGCTGCGACGGCCATGGTTCGCGCTGCTGGGGATTACACGGATGAGCGTGGGAGCAGGCTCACGCCACCACTCTCACCGCAGGCTCCACCCTCACCACCCCGGGATCACATTTTTCCGACAACCAAATCACCCTGAATGCGCCCATCTCATCCGATCTTGGAAGCTTAAGCAGAGCTAAACCTTGGTTGGTACTTGGTGGGAGACTGCCTGCGAATACGAGGTGTTGTAGTCTTGGGCTGCGAGGTAGCCGGGATGTGGCAGTAACAGAAATGCATTGTTGAGTATTGTCCCCTCATATCCTTGGTGTGGTTTTCTCCCCGATTCACTAGTTTATTTGAACATAAAGCCATAAACTCATGTATTGAATTATCCAAATATCTCAATGCAGGACCCTCTTGAAAAAGTGCCTGAAGTCTCAGTGAGGCTTTCCAGCATAAACATTTTGAATGTATTTATTTACCAAGGAAAGCCTCGTCTTTTATCTGGAGGTCTCCTGCTAAGTTTTGCAGTTGGGGTCGATTTGCTATGCGTCTCCAAATTGAGTAATTTGCAGCGTTATTTTTTAAATGATCAAAATTTGGATCATGATGCCGGCACACAATGACCAACTCAATTTGAACAACATCAATGGATCTTTATCGTCCACTGTAAAGTATATGGCGGGTATTTTTTTATGGTCCCTACACTCACATTATTACCCAGGGTGGCCATGGAGCTTGAACAGAAAACCTCTGCAACAAGAAGCAGCAAAAGTCCTCCCGCTTGGCCCTGCAACTGTAGATGGTGTATAGGCAAGAACCTAGCAATCAGTCAGCGAAGCCGCTTTTTGTGTTTAGTTTGTTGTCCTTCCCCCATACCTCCGATTAGCACAGTTGGCTATGTACGGTGCGAAAGAAGTTCAACATACATAAGCACCCGATTGTGTGGATCGCAACCGCCACCCCATCTTATTTGTCTCACCTTTGTTTTGCGCAGCGTTCGGAATCTCGCCGGTGGTCGCCACCTCTGTGCGCGGTTGGCCGATCGGCGGCGAATCCCGCGCCGAGGCCTGGTCACGTGACCTCCAAGAGCTCGCCTCCACGGGTCGCGTTGCATTCTGGGTTGGCTCGTCAGCCGCCTTCTTGGATTTCTTGGCTTTGCCCTTTGATTGCGAAAGACGCTTCCGCTCCAGCTCCACGCTCTTCTTGCCTGGTTGGTGGGTGGGGAGGTGGGGACAGATGCATTTTCTTTACAATCCAAAAGGTTACTCCCTCCTCATTGAAATTTCCATCTTCTTCCCAACGTGGGCCCTTCCCCTAACTTGGTTGAGGGAGTGGGCCCCTTTCCCCACCTTTTACCTACCCTCCTTTATATGGTAGTTGCGTCGGGACTGTCCTCCGTGAATTGACACCCGGTTGTGCGTGCCGCGCGGCGTGCTGTATTGGGCTTGCATTTTCTTACAATATATCACGATTTTTTAAATCAGAAATGTTTCAGTCACGTAACTCATCCCGAGTGTGTGTCCACAAACACGCTTGGCTCACCGCGAGGCGGCTGCTTTTGAGGCTGCTGCGACGGCCTCCACTTGTGGACGCTCGAGTCATCCCCACCCGACCACACGACGTCGGCGTCGCTGGGGCACCACGCCACGCTGAGCGCGCGGCCCCCGTGGCCACGATAGTTACTCAGCGGCTCCCCCGTGTCGGCGCGCCACACCTGCCAGAGTTGGGGGGCGGGGAGGTGCGGGGAGACAACAGGGGATTGTGGGACAACAGGAGACATTGGAAAACAGTGGCAGACACAGGGAGAATTGGGGAGGCAGTGGGAGACATTACATTGACCGTCCATGTTTCCAGATGTCTTCTTATGGCAGCTGATGTCGATGCAGAGCAACAACGACAATTTCACAATCAGGTGGTCAAGCCAGATAACCGCGTCAGCAGCAGCGGAGCGTATCACTGTGATATCTCCATCGTATTTTTGGATCAGGTATTGCGTCGTGATATGTTTCCAGATGTGTGCAAGAGGGAGTCGGTGTATTCGTAAACATGTTTGTGAGCACATGTCTACATGTACGCGTGAGTACACGTGTGCGCGCGCGTGTGTGCGTGTGTACGTGGGGGCGAGCGCTGGGCACCACCTGCACGGTGCCGTCATACGAGGCGGACACGAGGAGCCCCGGGCGGTGCGGGCTCCAGTCCAGCGCCGTCACGCGCGCCGTGTGTCCGGCCAGTGTGCGTGTGTGCACCGCCCCGCCATCTGCGTGCAAGCACGATGACACACGGGTAAATGCATGGGTACACACATGTATGTATGTATGCTGAACGTCTTTTGCACCGTACGTAGCCAACCGTGCTAGGAAGTACACACCGGGCACACAGATGCTGTGTCTCCATGTCCTCATGTTCCCCCTGTTCCTATTTCCCCATTTATGTCTCCATTTGCTTGTTCCTGCGTCCCTGTCCCCTTGTCTCTGTCGTCATGTCCCCACGACTCTGTCTCCAGGTGTCTCCGTGTTCCTTTCCCTGTATCTCTGTCACATGTCACCGTGTCCCCGTATCCCTGCGTTTGCCCACCCTGGACTCCTTGCAGGTCGTGCACAAAGATGGGTGCATTGTTGGACCCGGACGCCAGCAGCAAACCCAGCGCCGATTGGTTGCTCGGCTCCAGCCTTCCCGGTTGGTTAGGGGAAGGGCCCAATTCCCCAGTCAGAGCGCCCGATTGGCTGCCCGCCACCTCCACCATCCCCACCGCTGTCTGACCATTCGAAACGACCGCCTCCGATTGGCCAACGGCAGCACTGGGGACATGTGATTGGTTGTGGTAGGGGGGCAGCCAGCGCAGGCAGTTCACGGTCTTGTGGTGTGAATTGAGGGTGCACACGTGATGCAGGAGTGGGGAAGAGTAGATTTCCATCGACCTGATGGGCACACGCACACATGCACGCAAGCACATGCACGCAAGCACAGGCACTAGTGTCAGTGTCAAGAGTAGAACCACCACCAGCAATGAGCTGAACACTGTCATGAGCATCACTAGCAGCACCATCACAAACCACCAGCAGTGTCATCAATAACATCATCACTATTAGCACCATTTACCAACGACATTACTGGCAGCGTCATCGCTCAGTGTCACCAGCAGCATCATCAACATTAACGCCAACATCATCAACAAAATCATGTCCATGGAATCACGACCAAAAATATCACCACCATAACCTTAACCCAAATCTGTCCTTCTACGTTTCGTTTTGTCCACATGTCCGAGTCTCCCCATGTGTCTACGTTGTGACACAGTATATCGCTGTGCATTTGTATGGGCCGCCTTGTGTCCCCGTGTGCCTCCATATATCTCAAGTGTCTCCGAGTCTCCCCGTGTATATATGTGTATCCCTGCTTGTGCTCATTAGTCCGTGTGTGTCTCCGCATATATCTCTTTGTATATCTGTGTCCCAATATATCCCGGTGTGTCCCCGTGTCTCTGTACATCTCCACCTGTTCCCAAGTGTCCCTGTGCGTCTCCGTACCCGTCATCATTTCCCAGAGCCAGCAGGGAGCCATCGCACCTCCACGACAACTCACTCCTTGCAGGGAACTTGTGCTAAAATAAGGGAACACACATACGTAAGTGTGGATGTCGGCGCAGCGTTGGCCACCTAACCTCTCGTGTGCCGTGCCGGCCTTCATAGGTGCTCACTAACAGCAATTGCCCAAACAGTCTTTGCATAGGTATGTGTGCCTGTATACTAAAGGGCAGCAAGTTGACACAGTGAGGCACAGGTGGTGCATCTGTCATTCATCTCAAGTCAGTCAACCCTTAACACCTGGGTCTCTCCCGTGACCTCCTGCCAGCAGCGAGCCGGCCTCAAAGTGCACTTAGCCTGGTACAAGCACTGTGGTGTTGTCACCGCCACTTATTAATACGCTTGTTTTTCAGGAGGGTACTGCCGAGGTTTTTCGGAGTAGGGGGCGACGTTGCCATGTTTAATCCCAACCGAGTAATCTATGAAGGTAATGTTTCAGCACGGAGGTCCTTCTTGCTGCGACGCACAGGTGTTACCACTTCTGCGCCAACCCTGAATGGCGGCTGTTGTTGCCGTGCGCGTGGGGGCACCTATGCGAGGTTCTACTCTTGCTGTGCGTATGAGCGTGAGTGAGGAGGCACCTGGGCGAGGTTCTACTGTTGCTGTGCGTATGAGCGTGAGTGAAGAGGCACCTGGGCGAGGTTCTACTGTTGCTGTGCGTATGAGCGTGAGTGAGGAGGCACCTGGGCGAGGTTCTGCTGTTGCTGTGCGTATGAGCGTGAGTGAGGAGGCACCTGGGCGAGATTCTACTCTTGCTGTGCGTATGAGCGTGAGTGAGGAGGCACCTGGGCGAGATTCTACTCTTGCTGTGCGTATGAGCGTGAGTGAGGAGGCACCTGGGCGAGGTTCTACTCTTGCTGTGCGTATGAGCGTGAGTGAGGAGGCACCTGGGCGAGGTTCTACTGTTGCTGTGCGTATGAGCGTGAGTGAGGAGGCACCTGGGCGAGGTTTTACTGTTGCTGTGCGTATGAGCGTGAGTGAGGAGGCACCTGGGCGAGATTCTACTCTTGCTGTGCGTATGAGCGTGAGTGAGGAGGCACCTGGGCGAGATTCTACTCTTGCTGTGCGTATGAGCGTGAGTGAGGAGGCACCTGGGCGAGGTTCTACTGTTGCTGTGCGTATGAGCGTGAGTGAGGAGGCACCTGGGTGAGGTTGGCCGCGTGGATGAGGGTGTTGATGTCGACTGCGTCGTCCGAAAGTTTCCTGGGGTTGTGCTGCAGCACAGAGCCCTCGCCCCCACAGCTGTACAGCGCGTAGCCGCTAGCCTGACCTACACACACAGACACGCGTGTATACACACACACACACATATACAGGTGGGTGCACATCTAACCAAGTGTGTCTCTCTCCCATATAGCCACAAAGATTGGTGGGGCAAGTGCTGTTAGCGAGAACGTACGAAGGCCGGCATGACAAACGAGGGGTGGGTGGCCAACACCACGCCCGCCCACCTCCCCGGTGTTGATGATTACACAACGTACCAAGGTATACAATCACACACACACAGTCTTACCTTCTGGTGAGGGTGGTACAGGTGGTCCCCATGACAACGAGTAGACTGTCTTCTTGTGGTATGAGCTGGAGATTTGTGGTGGCCTGTACACACACACACACCAAAGATCCCTCGTATAGCCTTTAATAGATTGTTGGGGCAAGTGCTGTTTGTAAGCACCAACGAAGGCCAACCCGGTACACGAGGGGGTGGGTATCCAGAACTATAGGCAGCCACCTTTGTCTCCCCAGTGCTGTTTACACACCATGCCAAGGTATGATGAGGAGTATTTTAAAGAAGTGTGGAGTGATGAGGTGTGATGAGTAGCAGTCCATGAGGTGCTGTGAGCAGTAGTGACATGTTGAGGGGTGAGGAGTGTTGTGACGGGAAGTGGTTACGAGGTCTGGAGGGGGGTGCGGTGTGATGAGGACCCCACTTGTTGTTGTAGAGATCGTAGATCCCAACTTTCCCCTCGTCGGTGCCAAACGCCAGGCGACCTTCCCTGCTGGGGTGCCACGCCAGCTGTGGACATCACCCCCAACATCAATATCACCACCATCAACATCAAAGATCCCCCGTATAGCCTGTAATAGAATGTTGGGGCACCTCCAATTAGCACGGTTGGCTACGTAAAGTGCAAAAGAGGTTTAACATACATACAAGTGCTGTTAGCGAGCACCTATGAAGGCTGGCACGGAAGACAAGAGGGTGGGTGGCCAGCACCACACCTGGCCGCCTTTGTCTCCCCAGTGGCGATGTTTACACACTGCATTAGGTACTCATTTGAGACCGAGTTGACCTAGGGGACGCCCAGGACCGATTCAGATAATCGTCACTGGTGTTGGCCGTCAGCGGGAATTTAACTCGGGTCACCAGGGTTCGTAGCACAGCGCACTAACTGCTACACTACCATAAACATAATCACCATCAGTACCACAACCAATATTACCAGCATCAACATGACCACCGCCACCAACACAATGATTCACATAGCGCAGGGTGCAGTGCAGTGGTGTAAGTGTGTAGTGATGCTGTGTATTGTGGAGTAGTAGTGGGTGGTGTCGTAGTGTGTGGTGTAGTAATGTGTGTGGTGTAGTGCGGTCGAGCGATGTGAAGTGTGGTGTAGCACATAGCGTTGTGACGTGTAGCACTGCGGTGTATGGCAGTGGTAGCGGGACAGTATACGCTGTGTCATGTATGGTGATATGGTGTACAGCGTGGTTGTGTGGTGTGTAAAAGTGCAGTGCCTGTATGGTGGTGCAGTGTACAACGTGGTGTATCATATTTATCAGTGTGCAGTGCAGTCTGTGCGATGTGGTGTAGTTGTGCAGCATGTGCGGTGTATGGTAGCAGTGTTTAGTGCCATACAGTGTGGTGTGTGTTTCGGTGTAGTGGCGGTGTGTGTATCGCTGTAGTGGCGGTGTGTGGTAGCACTGTGTTTCGTGCGCAGTGGCGGTGTGTGCCGTTGTGTACGCGGCGATGGTGGCACGTGGTGAGCGGCCGTGTTGGCGGCAGCGGTGGGGGCCACTCACGGCGGTGAGCTTGGCGTGCACGCCCTGCCAGTACGACGAGACGTCGTACGCGGCACGCGGCGAGAGCGTGCGCCACACGCGCAGCACGCCATCGCCCCCGCCCACCGCCAGCGCCCCGGGGTCAGAGCCCGACTCCACGGGGGGGAACGCGAGGCAGTAGGCGAAACCGCCCAGCGTTGGCAGGCGCCAGCACAAAGTCAGGTCCCGCGCATGCCAGCAGCAAACCTGGAGGTTGGGGGGGCATGGGCAGGGGGGACGCGTGGGGACGAAGACAGGGATCCCCCGTGTGGCCTTTAGAGCAATGCTGGGTCGTGTGCTCTTAGCGAGCATCGATTAAGGTTGGCATAACACAATAAGGGGTCGGTGGCTGGAAAAACACGCCCGGTCGGCTTTGTCTCACCAAATGCTGACATTTACTTACTGCACACTCCCGCTCTCGCACACACATTTACGCTTTCGCACGCTCATACCCGCTGTCCCCACGTGTGAAACTCACATCACGGTCCATGGACGAGGAAATGAAGAATTCTTCATCTTCCTCTCCCTCGTCCTCCTCCTCATTAGGAGCAACGCTCCCATCCCGACGAGCTGTGAACGCGACGATGTTGAAGACGACGCGGGAATGGCCGGGGGAGTCGGACCCCGCGCCAAGCGGGGTTCCCTTAATGCGACCGCCGCTCCTCACTCCAGCGCCCACATCCCACAGCAGGAGCTCCCCACTGCAGAGGAGGGGCGGTAATGTGAGAGGTGAGGGGCGAGGAGGCGAGGAGCGTCGAAGCTAAGGGTGATAGATGAGGGGATGGAGGATGGGGAGGTGAGGATTCGAGGTGAGGAAGTGGAAGGAGACCTGGGTAAGTGACGAGGACCTGGAGATCGACCCATGTGAGAGTTGAGAGAGGAGAATCTCGAGGAAGACTGAAGTGAGAGAAGGTCCTGATGAGGGAAAGGAGGGTAAGGAAGACCTCAGCGAAGAGAAGGAAGAGCTGGGTGGAAGATGAGCTGGAAGTCGTACCCGTAGGCGCTAGAGATGAGGTGGAGGGGGCGGCTGTGGCTCCAGCACACCGTTACCCAGAGTCGCTCACGGGGGGCCGCCGTGTCCATCTCTCCCCCACGCCGCTTTGGAGGGGGGAGACGCAGGGTCAGGGAGCCTGGGGGAGAAGCAGGGGGGACACAGGGTGGAGAGCGACAGACAGTGAGGTCTGTGTGAGAATTCATGGGGACAGTGCGAGTGCTGAGTGTATATGTTAAATAGGTGAGGGGAGCAGCGGTAGTGTAGTGGTGAGTTAAGGCTATAAGCAGGATCTTTGTCTTCGTGTATACGTGCACGTGTGTATGTTCGCAGAGTAAAGGACACAGCTGCTGCTGCATCTACCAGTCATCTGTCAGTTTACCCATGGCTCCTGGGTCTGTCCCATGCCCTCCTGTCAGCGAGCCTTTAACACTTCACGTGGCCTCGGACTGTACCTGGCCTGGCACAAGCTCCGTGGTGACATCACCGCCACTTTAGTGGCAAATGGCGGCTGTTGTTGTTGTTGTGTGTGCGCATGTGTGCGAGCATTACACTTGGCCCGGGCGAGGCTCCACACTCGCACGGTTCGGTCTTTGCTGCCGGATGCCAGGGCCCCCCAAAGGGAACCGGCGATGGTGGCGGCCGTCAGGTCATCGCCGGTGCCGGGGGTCGGGTGGTCCTTGGGGGTCCCGCTGGGGTCGTACGCGGAGTCGGGGCACCAGCCGAGTGCGTGGACCTCATCCTCGTGGCCACGCAGGCGCAGCAGCGGCTCCAAGCGGCGCCGCAGGTCCACGACGAGAATCAGCCCATCCTTATAGCTGGGGGACAGGGGAGTGGCGAGCAGAGGAAGGGAGATGGTGGCGGGGTGGCGGAGGTGGAGAGAGAAGGGAGATGGAGTTAGAGATGGAGGTATAAGTGGGGAGGTGGGGGGGGGAAAGAGATATGCACGTATTATCTCTTTGTGTCAGCTTTGTCTACATATGTAGTGCGACTGTGTGCGTGCCACCGTGTGCTGCCTGGATGTGTACGTGACCATTAGTGGGCGTGCGTACATGTGCGTGCGGACATTCGCTCGAGCGTGTGCACACGCGTGTATACGTGTGCGCGTTTGTGCAGGGGTGGGTACACGAGCGAGTGCGATTACGACACGTGCCTGTACGACGTGCGTGCGTGTACGCTCGTGATATTTGATTGTATACGTGTCTGTACATGTTTCTGCGTCTGTGTGTACATGCGTGTGCACGTGTGTACGTGCGTGTGCACGTGTGCACGTGTGTGCGTGTGCACGTGTGCACGTGTGCGCATGCGGCAGCCCCCACCCCAGCGCGAGCAGGTGTGCGTGGTGCGGAGACAGCGCCAGGCAGGTGACGTGGCGCGGCGCCGGCATGTGCGTGCGCGCATCTCCCACGGTCACCGGGGGCGCCACCTCCTCTGCCGCCACCTCCTCCTCCACCCCCGTCACCCCCCTTGACACTGGGTCCCCCGCATCCCCCACCGGCGGAGAGGGCGCCGCCGTGGGGAGGCGCCAGCAGCAGACGGCGCCACGTTCGTCGGCGGACACCAGAAGGTCCCGCTCGTGCGGGGAGAATTGCACGCACGTCACGCCCGCCTGCTCGCACGCCCGAGACACGGGGAGACACGCGTTGACACTTGGGGACATGAGAAGACTCACGGAGACATTTGGAGACACACAAGAGACACAGGGACATGCGGAGGCACGCAGACACATGAGAAGGTACACGGGGACACGCGGAGACACGCTGGGGCACATTTGGACAAGGAAACACATAGAGACACGCAGAAATATAATAATTTGTGATTCGATTAAAATTTTATATGCATTCAATATAAGACAGAGGTGAAGCCCTGCAATTACTTGAAATCACCACCGGCGAAAGGGCCTTTACGAGAAGACACTCTAAATAGCTTCTCTAGAGGGTATTTGGCCTACTCTTCCATGCTGGCCAAACATCTTGGAAGACGACGTAATATTATATCATGAATACGTGATTTACATGCAGTCACTTACGTTTCCCAAAACGAGTGACTTTCGTCTTCAAGTGGAAATAATTTGCCCGATACACTGGTGTCGAACCCATGGTGTGGAGTACGTGTAGATGCGTGTGGTATGTATGCTACACGCGGTGTAGTGAGTTGTGTGCACTTGTGGTGTACACATAGTGGGAAGTGGTAGTGTAGTGGATCACGCACTGCACTACGAGCCCAGCGAGAGGAATTTTATTCCCACTAACAGCCAAAATCAGTGACGAATACCTGAACCAGTCCTCGGCCTCCCCTAGGTTGACTCAGCTGGTGTGGTGTGTAAACATCAGCACCAAGGAGACAAAGGTGGTCGGGCGTGGTGCTTATCCACCCCACCGCCTCGTCGTGTACCATACACCGGTCTTAATAGGTTCTCTCGAAGAGCACTTGTCCCAACAGTCAACATGTTCACGGCTATATGGGAGATCTTTCTACGGGGGGGGGGGGGGGTGCGGTAAAGTGATTTGCATCCCTACGCGTGGACACATGATCGCGGATAAAATTCTGCGAAAAACCGAGACAGTTGGTGGGCTGACCCGAGCGGGCACGTGTGCGTCCGTGAACGTGTGCGCGTGCTCGCTAACATCGCTTGCCCCAACAGCCTGTTTAAGAGGGGAATGGGGGGTGGTGGAGGAGGTGGGAATGGGGGGTGGTGGAGGAGGAGGTGGTGATGATCTCTCCGTGTGCGGTTCACTCACGGCGTGCGCGCCTTGCAGCACGTGCGTGCAGCGCGCGCCGCCGCGCGTGTCCCACAGCCGCACCGTGCGGTCGTCAGAGCAGCTGGCGCACGCGTGCGCCACGTGCGGCGAAAACGCGACGCCGGTCACTCGCTCCGTGTGGCCCTCCAGCAGGTCTGAGATGTGGGGGGGGGGGAGACGCGGAGGGGGAGAGGAGACACGGGAGGAGTAAAGGTGGACACGCATTAATAAGGGGGACATGTGGAGAAGGGAACATGTTGGCGGGCTGGAGGGTGAGGGGACGACTCATACGGGATCACGAAGCGATGACACCCACCCGTCACCTGCTCGAGCACCACTCCATACCAGACACGACACGAGTGAGGAACTGCAAGTGTCCGTGAGATGCCCATGACATCTTTGTTGTAACGTTGTGACCCCGCCCCTACTGGACACCTGTACAATCAAAGAGCTTTACAGCTCATCGGATTCCTGCTCGTATAAATTGAGATTTCGAATCTGACATGTTGTATGGGTGTTGGAGAGCTGTCGTTGAGATGTATTCCCGCCCGTAATCCTGTACAAGCACTACCCCAGACCAGACGCTGCACAGGGACAGGCCATTCAGATGCAGTCGAGATGCCTGACCTGATCGCACAGGTTTAGAGTCCGCGAGATACCCCATTCACATCTAGAACTTTAAGGGAGATGCAGTGGGGAGGTGACAGGGAGATCTTCAGTGGGGGAGGTGACAGGGAGAACTTCACCAACCGCTCTCCCGAGGCCAGACCCCCCCACCACAGGCGAAGCAACTCGAGGTGTGTACGAGGTGCAGGGCACGTGTCCACCCACCCCTGACCACGGGCCCCTGGCTGCCGGCCTCCACCAACACCACCGCGCTGCGCGCCGCGAAGCCCACTACGCCTCCCGCGGGCCCCGCGCTCACGGCGCCGCTGCAGAACCAGTTCGGCGAGGGCGGCATGGCGCTCTCCATGGTCCACTCAGCCTGAAATAAACAACAGCAGCAGCAACAACAGCCACCACCACGAAGAGCGCAGTGGAGGAGTCGCTGGGGGAGGTGGAACGGGGCCGGCTTCAACTCCCGCGCCGGAGCTGACGCACGTGGCCCGCGATAGCGTAGAGCGGATAGGAGCGGCGGATTGGAATTTGTAGAGCGGTTAGGAGGTCGCAGCTGAAATCTGTAGCGCGGATGGGAATAGAGCGTTGAAATCTGTAGCGCGGATAGGGAGGTGGTTGAAATCTGTAGAGCGGATAAGGGGTGTGCTGTTAAAATGTGTAGAGCGGATAAGAGAGGGGTTGGTTGTATTTGTTAGCGTGGATAAGAGAGATTTGGAGAATATTAATTGGATTTCATAAAGCGTATAAGAGCGGAGCAGGAATAAAGATTGGATTCTATAGCTTGCATAAGAGTGCGTGTATAGTAGACACTAATATAATTTTGGCGAACCAATAAGAATGATAAATGTATTGAGTTTTTAATATTTAACAACAACAAAACCACAACACACTCGTCAATAACACCGTCGTAAACTAAAGCAACGTTTCGGCCAATGGCCCTTGAGTAATGCTATTATTTACCGTCAGTATGTGTGTGCCATGACGAAGGGCCATTGCTCGAGACGTCGGCTACACGAAAATAACGTTACAATGAGAATTGTATAGAGAAAGGTGGAGTATTAAATTGAGCAAAGGGGGGGGGGGGTGCAAAGATAATTGTATTTAGTGGAGCGGATTAGAATGAAGTGAAAATGAGATTTGGATTCCATTAAAAAAAAAAGAATCCATATGGGGCCGGCCATAAATGACGTCACGCACCTAGGGGGGGGGGTCAGACATTTGTGACGAGGGGGGGGGGTGAGAAATGTGACGTCACATCAAAATGCGCAACTTTAAATAAATATACACAGCACGTTCTACTTAATTCAATAGACTTTTTAATAAATGTTTTCTCCTACAATATCAGAGTGCAGCGCCACTTTAAATACGCATTACAATGACAATAGTTAAAGCGACTTGAAGCATGTTTTATTTGTTTTTGGGGGGGGCAGCTTATTTGTGATGGGGTCCCACTGCAGAGAAATTGTGGGTGGGGGTACTCGCTTTACGACGCGGTTGCAAAAAGATTGACAGGTGAATCGCTTTACGCCGCCGTCGTAAAAACAGGTTTTTATTAGCTTTACGGCAAAGCCCGCGCGTGTTGCTCGGGGGGGGGGGGTTCCCCGGAAAAATGCGATGACGTCACTCACAACGGGTGCGACGTCACCAACAGAAACCCTCGCACCCCCTCCCCCGCGCATATTACGTCATCAGTCCCATTTGCCATAAATCAAAATGCGATGACGTCACTCAACGCGTCTCAACGGAGGCGACGTGACGGTGAGTAATCTCGATCCGGGTGACGTCGTGTGGGTCGGTTGACGCCACTGACGCCGCAAGCCAAGATGACGTCATCTGCTCGACGTCGGTAAGGAATGGCATGTACGTAGCTCACCGGGAGGAGCGGGGTCAGATCCCAATCGTTATGAAAATAAACGATAAGGGAAAATATCGTTAAATAAAAATATGTAAAAGCGGCCTTTTAGGCAATGGTGCTTATGCAGAAAGGGCGTTAACGTTCAGTTGAGACGATGACGTAACATGATGCATGACGTCACAATGATCATCGGACCCTCTTACGATGACGTCACGCAACATTTAAAGCTTCCACACAAGTGGCTTATAAAATGACAGCATTAAAGCACAACTCGCTGTGAATACGAATAGAATGACATCATCGCACAACAGCAGGTCTGGAATCACATAAGAATAAGATTGTCTGCCTCACCTCAAAGTGACGTCACTAAAGCAGGACTGTATAACATCCCATCCGATGACGCCACTAATTGTCAATTTAACAGGATAAGCTCTTTCCCACTGGGGGATGCCATCTCATGATAAAGCAATGACGTCACACCTCAGATGATCGGTTTATTTTTTTCTCTGCAACTGCTCGATCCATAGCCTTGAATTTGAGAGGCCACACTGCCGATGAGGAACCAGTAAAATCTAACGCCACTATAAAATGTGAATGCACATGTGCAGGCCTCGTGTCAATCTACTGCTGAATGTCTTGCGGATCATGGGGCTTACTTGGCCATACCTCAACACTCCGCAGCATGGGTTTAAGGAGGGGAGTATGGAAGCGCAGCACAAAAATCTATTTCCATTGCTGTTCATTAACCACATGCCTCTGCAGCAGCCCATCACACCTGCGTCATGCATGGTGGTCACCCATCCAAGCACTATGCATGGTCAAACCTGCCTAACCCTCAAGACCTGATGAGTTTAGTGCATTCTAGGTAATTTCGTTACAGGCTCACGACTTGAGAATATCGATTCCGATTTCACAAATACGATTTAACAGACGCCTTCTGTTTATATACAACCCGCAATCTGCCAAGGCAGCACATTTTATTTTGATTTTTTTTAAACATACAAGGCAAAGTGTCTCCGTGCTCAAGTGAGGCATGAGGCAGCACTCATGTCCGCTGGCCGCTCCGAGCCATTGGTGACAATTCCACGTTTCTATGACGAGGGCCACACCCCTCCATCGCGCACTTTTATCCGATTGTGGCTGATGGGGGCCCGTAGGTGTCGGTCGCTCCCGCCCCCCCCCCCCCCCCCCCCCCACGGTTGAGAGAGTCCAGTTTGTGAGGTCTGGGATGCCGAGGGAGGGCGGTCTTCACAGTAGCTGAAGAAGTTTCTCCTCCTTTGCTTTCCTCATGTGGTAGAGCTGCATTCACACACATGCGCACATACAAATATAATGAAACACATACTCGTGAACTCAAGCAGAGCCATAGAAGCACATCAGCGTGGACGCTATACCAACCATGAAAGGTTTCTCAAACTCCAAGTCATACAGCTTTACCTGAGCTTGCCCACCATCGTAATGGTTAAGGTTTATTTTTGGCACAGGCAAAACCCATTGGGCAATAAATAAAAATTTTCGATGGGGACCTGGTTACACCATAGCAGAGGTCGCAATCGGGTACCCGATACCCGTACCCTACCCAATACCCGGCTACCTGTACCCGGCCGGGTATCGGGTACGGGTACCCGTTTGCGACCCTGGTGCGGCCGGGTACGGGTAAGGAATCAAAACCCGTTTGCGACCTCTGCACCATAGAAACTTGGTTCCAGCAACAACAAAACATGACCAAAACAATGCAAAACAACTGTACATGGTCAAGTTCCTAACAATTGTGAGCGGATGATCAGGAACTCGGAAAGCAGGCGGCACACAGGGGAGACACAGGATATACAAGGACATCACCGCACCGTTCGTGACTCCATGAACGCGGGCAGGAAGTCTTCAAGACTGCAACTCCCATCCAGGAAGCGCTCGGCAGACGCCTCGGACTCTTCCTCCGCCTGGAGGGCGGCCACTTTGAGACGAGCCTCCAGTACACTCACTCCTAGGAGCTGAGATGCAGAGGCATAGAGACATTCATCACATCGATGCGAGCCTCCAGTGTACGCTCACTCCTAGAAGTTGAGATACAGAGACACAGAGACATTCACATCGACATGAACTTCTAGTATACTCATTCCTAGGATACAGAGACACAGACGAGACATTTGCATTGAGAGGAGCCTCCAGTAGACTCATTCCTTGGAGCTGAGACGCAGGGACATTATAACACACAGACACAAGGACAAGGGAACACAGAAGCATGGGGACACATGCCTCCAAGTGGGAAACACAGAGGCAGCAAGGGGTGTGTGTTGTGAGGTGCCCCCACCTCACCTCATTCATCTCATGCTGTTTTTCAACCTTCTTGTCAAACGCCGACTTGAAGCGATTCAACTCCTCACACTGTCGGAGAGATCACTCAGTCACTCACCTTTCACATTCCATCACTCGTCATTGGCCAACATCACAAGTCATCGCCCATCAATGTCATCACAGAATTGAATCCAGTGTCCAGAGCCATGGGGTCCCATTTTACCCGGGGGGCAACATAAAGGGCCAAAGGGATCCTAAAGAGACCTCATCTGGGTCCGGCACCTCCGATTAGCACAGTTGGCTACATATGTAGTGACATCGCGGTATGTGACTGTGATGCTGGCCCGAGAGAGGCACGGCGTGCGGTGTATTGACATCGCACATACCACTAGGATGTGGTTGCAGTACCGGCCTAAGAGGGGCTTGGTGAGCACTGATCGATAGCGCTGGATCGCACCACGCTTGGCGTGCAGTGCCGGCCCCTACAGGATAGGGTGTGGGAGTGCCGACTACTAAAGGCCGTGGCACTCTGGTTGACCCGAGAGGACACGTGACCGGTTAAGTCTACACAGGGGCCCCAAGTGGGGGCTAGGGGTGGTCACGTGTCAGGGTCGAGATCCTGCTCGAGGCTTCTGGAAGGTGGTCGTGGCCAAGGGCGGAGCCGGCCACGCCACAGAGGATATAAGCCGGTTCCCCCAGAGGGACCGGCGCTGTTGTTCATCCTGAAGAAACCTACGTTCTACGTTCTACATCCTGCAGAGTCTCCAACATGTGGACCTGGACCCAAGCTGTGGTCCGGTCCACCCTGACACGTGACCACTCATATAGAGTAACAACTTATTATATCACATGATCACATCACCACACATCAATGCTCAAATTTCACACAGTACATGCATGTAGGTATGCATTGTGTGCATGTGTGTATGTTAAGTGGTAGTGTGGTGGCAGTGGGTAGCACACTACACTATGAACTTGGCCATCCAAGCAAGATATCCTGGTCACCGATAACATTGGCGATATCTGAACAGATTCTGGGCCTCCTCTTTTTCGATTGAGAATTAATCAGTACCTGGTGCAGTGTGTAAACATCAACACTGAAAAGACAAAGGTAGCTGGGCCTAAGGCCGGTCAAGCTGCTCCCTAATGCCAGCATTCAAAAGCGCTCACTAACAGTGCTTGCTCCAACAGCTGTGTTTGCTGTGCTTCTGTATGTGTGCAAAAGTGCATGCACATGCCACACTCACCTTTTGCAGAAACTCATTGCGTCTGCAATCCAGCTGAGGTTTCATGGACAAGTTTTCATCTGGAATAGACACCCCCACCATCAAGCATTACAACCACCATCACCCCATCACTAATATCACCTACAATATATTTATCCCTTTGTCAATCTACTTCTAGGCGAAGGCCTCCTCATCCCATATCAGTCATGGGGGTTGTTTGTCCATATTTCAACACGGTAGTGCAGGTTGCTGAAATGGAAGGCCCAGGGAGAATTCAGATATTACTTGCCGCTGATGTTAGCCGTGGCCGAGAATCGAACCCAGGTGGCCAGGTTCATAGCCCAGTCACACTAAACACTCCACGCTATATATTATACATATTAACATCATCACCATCATGTCACAACAACCTTTACCAGTGTAGTACTGGGAGCGCATGTGGTATGTTGGGTGCAGTGCATATATTGTGATACCTGCAGGCAATGGGATGCCCTTGGATGAAGTGCATAAAGTGTGTGCCTGCATTGAGTGTGGTGTGGAACATTTGGTGCAGGGCTTGCAACATGGTGTGCATATGGTGGGGTGAGGCTGGTACAGTGTGGTGCATATGGTGGGGTACACATGGTATAGTGCATACGGTAAGAGCGGTGTACGTGGTGCAGTGCGGTGCGTGCGTGACGCCCCACGTGCCAGCGCCTCGTTTCTCGTCGCTTGTACCACCGTCTCCTCCCAAAACGTCGCGACGGCCGAGTGAGTGAGCACGAGCGCCCCGAGTCGCTCATCAGAGTCCGAGAGTGCTCGCAGCTCCGACACGCTAAACACATGCGAACAACACGCAACTCACACAAGCGACACTGGACGCTAATACCTCGAGCTCTTCACATACAAGCCACGCTACGGACATGCACACCACAAAATCCACACGCACACACCACATGAACTCACCCACTCAATCACACACTAATCAATACACACTTTCACGCTCACTTGAACTTACCACCAGCAAACACACAATGGCATAAACCCACACATTCACTCACACCGACACGCAGGCTAACATAAACCACTCACTGATCCAACCATCCACTCACCTCATCTCCGCCACTTGTGCAAAAATGTCTGAACTTTCAACGCCCTTCTAGAAAGAGAAAGCATTGCATAGATGCATGCACAGCACACACAGATGCAAACACAGACACGCAACTATTAATATTACATATTAGTATGAGTGTGTAGATGGACTGTGCTGTCATGTGATGGGCATGTGCCTGTATGTCCATATGCACACATGTGGGTGTCAATGGCGTAGTGGTTAGTGAACTGCTATATGAAGCCAGAAACCTGGATTCAATTCCAAAGTCTTAATTGCACTGGTCCTGGGCTTCACCTTGGTGCATTCAGCTGTAAATGAGTCGCTGATGCAGTCTTTCACATCAGCAGTGGGGAGACATGGCATAGTGTTCGCCACACCACCCCCTCATAGGGCATGCTGGTGTTCTTAGATGCTCACTAAGAACTTTCCCCAACAATCTATGTAAGTTAAAGGATGTTCTTTGCCTTTGTATGTGCATATGAGAGCACACATCTGTACTTGTTCACTTGTGACTATATGTGTGCAGGTTTGTAAGCGCCTGTGTGTGCACATGTGCGCAAATACCCTTGTGCACGCATGCTCACCTGTGTTCTCGTGTCCTTGCCCAAGGGGGTCGTGTCAGAGTGCGAGGTGACGGTAGGGTGAGAGGTCACGGCAGGGTGAGAGGTCACGGCAGGCGGAGCAAAGCCTATTGGCTGAGTGGAATAGGGAGCACGAGAGGCTCTGTGTGTGTGTGTCCGTGCATGCAGATGTATGTAAGCATTCACGTACATGAGTGTAGGCAAGTGCAAATGTTTGTATGCATGTATGAGCATGCATGCGTGTACATGAAAATGAGTGTGTGTGCATGCATGAAGATATAGTATGCATGTAAGTGTGTGCATGTGTGTACATTTTAATGTATGTGCATTTGAGTGTTAGCGTTCGTAAGTGTGTGTGTGTGTGCGTGTGTGCGTGTGTGCGTGTGCGTGTGTGTGTGCGTGTGTGTGTGCATACAATGGAGAAGAGTGGGCAATAATAACAGTAACTTTAATTACAGTGATATTACCGTAACAATACTGCCATATCAATAATTAAAGGTTAGCATTCAAAACAATACAACTGTAATAATTAAGACCTGCCAACATAAGCTGTTATCGGTGTGCATGTGTGTACGCCTGTGTGCGAGTGTAAGTGCGAGGGTGTTGAGTGTTGCGAGTGTTCCAATGAGTGTCATGAGATGGAATTCACACCCAAAACAAGGAGGGTTTGTCCTGAATTCCTCCAAGACGCTGACCACCGCTTTTCCCAGGTCAGACTGTATGACAAACTGCACGCACACACACACACACGTGCAGACGATGTACACATACAATAGTCGTGTGTCTCCCCGTTCGAGGCTCCGTGTCCCTGGATGTCAAGATGCTTGTCCCTGTATGCGCATCTGTGTTGGTCCACAGTGCATACCCATGTTCGTCTGTACTTTCTTCATGTCCTCATGCATGTTTGTATGGTGAACTTCTTTCATGCCATATGTAGCCAACCGTACTAATTGGAGGTTCACTAATCGGTGTGCATGCATCATGTCACTACATGTCTCTTCATGCACCTAGGTGGTTCCCCATGTATCGACTGCATATCCTTACACATCTCCCCATTTTTCTCTCATGTGTCTCCTCCATGTCCCTGTCTGTGTCCTTGTGTCCTTGTGTGTCCATGTCCTCACATCTCCCTATATCACCATGTATCTCCATGTTCTCATGTCTCTACATGTTGCTGTGGCCTTGTGTCCCTGTCATGTTCTCCCACGTACTTGTGTGTGTTTCCCAACATCTCCGTGTGCCTGCAGATGCTTCTGTCGCCAAGTGTCTCGAGGTGTGTACACGCGTGCCCCCGCATGTCCCCATGTCACCGCACATCACCGCACATCTCAGCATGTATCCCTGAGTCACCCTCCAACTCCATGTGTCTCCACGCATTCCTGCATGCCCCTGGTGTTCCTGCGTCTCCGCATATATCCCAGCATGCCCCTGCCTTTCCCCAGGTGTCCCCACATGTATCCACACACACGCACCCCATTGATGGCAGGGGAGCCGATGACCTGGCATTTCTCGTTGAGCCAAGGGTGACGAACATACGGCATAACGTGCACGACCGGGCGATCCTGGGGAAACTGTGGTGGGAGAAACCTGATGGCACACACACATGTACACAAAGATCCCCTCTATAGCATTACAGACTGCTCAGGCAAGTACTATTAGTGAGCACCTTGTTAGGCCAGGATAATGCACAAGGAGGTGGTGTGGCCAGTTGACCGAGGGGGGCCCAGGACCGGTTCTGATATCAATTGCCATTAATGTTAGATGTGGCTAGAAAGCAAACTCAGGTCACTGAGTTGGGAGTGCAGTTCATTAACCACTGCGCCACCACTCCCCACGACACTATAATTGCATACACATATCAACATACATCTACAATAAACACGAGATCATCACGATAGATTAATACAATTGTGCATGTGAGAATATATTATTTTGAATTTGTATGTTATTTTGCGTAATTAGTTCACATGACCCCTCCAGCCACCAGAGGCACAGCAACACACCACAATGTAAATACACCAAGTCAGAACACCGACATGAATCAGGCCTTAGGTTTGAATTCAGGCAACTGCCAGTGGTGAAACCGGTTCTCAAGTGTAATAATTTGATGATATTGGCCCCGTCACCAATGACTGTGATAGCCATCAACTGGCTACATCACCTCATCACATAACTGTAATCAACCTTTGCTTTGAATCGCCATACACAAGACGAAGAAGACCAATGGCCGCACACAAAAAAAACATCGAATTAAATTTGGCATTGCACATCATTTGACTAAATCCCAGCCCTGGGGGTTAAATGTTTGAGTTTGACTGTAATGCCATGCACATTAATGACTCTCTAAAGCAGGTCAGGTGGTGAAGTGCTGCTCCCTAATGTTTGGACCAGAGGTCACTTATGAGGGATCTTGGAAGTCGTCCTGCGATATTCGCTTCATGTACAATTCTCTAATCATAACGGGTTGCACTGGGCTGCGACAGATCCGAGTGGACTATGCATCTCATTATGTGATACCCAACAGCACAACCAGGAGAAAACTAGCAAAATGTGTTTTTAATAGTAAAAAAAATCAATTGCATCTTGAATGGAATTGTGACCCCAATCAGTGACCCCGAAATAAGACAATTAATCGAATTGCAAGGGACGCAAATCATTACATGGCTAATGAATGCATACTTTTGTGGTGACTCACAGGTGCATACATGTGATGTGTCCAGGTGTATACACACGCGCATGTCACACACGTACACGTTGATGGTGAGTGTCTGGTTGTCGATGACTGCTGGCACGTTATACACAATGTCCTTCTGCACCTCCACCGTCCTACACAACAACCGAACAACCAAAACAGCCATCACTGCAACATCCAGACCTCCACTGTGCAACCAGCACACCAGATGTAATTTACCATTCGTTATTGACACTAAATAAAATGTATTTTTAAGAGGTAAGTGAAAATTACCCTCAAGAAATCAATAATATTGCAAAATACTCTACGATCTTTAACGCTAACTTATGGGGAATGCATAAACTTGAGCCTTACTTTTTAACCGCAATGTTACTTCAAACTACTATACAAATACTGTCTTAAAATTTAAAAAATTGTTAAAAGGGTGAAAGAAAAAACCCCCAAGTTTCTCCAAGAGAATATTTCAAAACGTTTTATTTCAACAATTGGCTTGCATAAAGAGAAATGGACTTGCATAATGTGCATGCATAATGTACGTTGATTACCATATAAATAACCCAACCGTCAATGGATACCCATTGTCATTTATACGCATTCATTAATCACCCCCCAAATCGCTCAAGAAGTGCTCACAAGTGATGCCATCACATCTTCCCCTCTATTTACGGAACGAAACAGAGGATTTCTCCACAAATATGGTTGTCGCCTGATGAAGCTAGTTGTAATTACTGGCGAAACGTCGTACTCAGATTGTAAATGTTGTGGCTTTGCTCTCCAACACACCGGTGAGCTGTACTAGTTAACGAATTGGCATGTTCTGTTTACGTGACAAACTATACTAAATGGCTGTGTTGGGTGGTGGTGGGTTTAACAACACATTTATATTTTTACGTGATCCAACCCAAAAACCTGTATTATGGATACACACTTTAGTTCCATGGTGCACATTATCGACCTTAATTAGCAATGTAACAGTATCACCACCTTCATTATGATCACCAACAACACCTTCACCATAAACACCACCACTAAAAACCACAAAATCCACATCAACACCGCTAACCACCCTGTGGTCAGACGTCTCGTCACACCATGACCACGTGTGTATAACATGTTTCTGTCCATTGGTGTCTCCGTCTCCTTGAGTCTCCCTTTCCCTCTTTATCTCATATCCTCTGTGTCCCCCTTTCCCCCTTTTCGAACTGCCCATGTGTTCCTCTGCCTACCAGGGTCGCTATCTCATGTTCACCCCGTCGCCGTGTCTCGCCGTGTGTCCCATTCTCCCCATCACCGTGTCTCCCAATGTCTCTCTGCACCCCAATAAAACCTGTGTATAACACCCTTATCACTCTCTCCGCTTCCCAGTGCATCTCTGTATGCATTTCCTCCTGTCCCCACATGACCCCGTGCATCTCTTTCGTCTCGATGCCCCCGACCCCATCGCCTTCGTCTTGTCTCTCTTTGCCTCCCCTTGTCCACTCGTGCCACCCCCCACCCTTTGCCTGTTGCCAGAGGCCTCCGAGTCTCTGTCTCCCCATTCCCCCGTGCCAACCCCGGTGTCTCCCATGTGTCTCCCCCTTTGTGCCCGTGTCGCCGCACCCCGGGATGGCTGCCTGCAGCGACTGGATCTGCAACTGTCGGTGCGACTGGAGAACAGAAGGCGCCGCCGGAGGCTCCTGGCGTCGTGCCCACCAGCTCATGACGCTGGGTAACCCAGAGGGTAACCTAGTGACAGCACGGGTAAGTTAGTAACACGGCTGATAATCTGGTAACACACAAGCTAACGTGATAGCAATACGGGTATCTTTGTTACACAGCTGGTAACCCAAATGACTTGGTGACACGTCTGACAACATAATTACACATCGGGTAAACTGATAACACTATAACTTGATAACACAGCTGGCAACAATGTTACATGTTAATCCGGTAACTTGGTTACACAGATGGTGTCCTGGTAAGGCATCGAGTAACCTGGTGACACAATGGCTAACTTAGTAATAGGGCAACTTGGTAGCACAAAAGGGTAACTGGATAACCCACCGATGAAACCTGGTAACTGGGAGATTAACCTCAAAGGTAAATGGTGATCGATGCGGGTAATTGAGGGTAACTGGGTAAACGTGGGTAGCCGGATTACGCTGCGGATAACCGGGTAAAGTCGGATAACTCAGAGTGGCCGAGTAACAGAGAGGGTAATCTGTGGGTTAACTGTGCAACACTGCGGATTAGACAAAATTAAGTCGCACAGTGAGTAGCCGTGAGCGCAAATGGATACGAGGCGAGTAACAATTGATTAACTGGGTAACCGCCGTCACCGGGTAACTCGGCCGGATAATCAGCGGGGTAACCATGGCGACAGGGGTGGGTACCAGGATGGGGTAACCGGGTAACACGCCGGTTGTGTGGTGTAAAAGATGACGTTACCCCGCCTCACGCAGGCAACTTTGTTCGCGAGACGCGGGTACCGTGGTCCCTGGCGGCGGTCACCCCGGTAACGTGGTGGTGGGAACTGGGTAACGTTACCCGGGTAACCCCGGTAACGCGGTGGTGGAAACTGGGTAACGTTACCCGGGTAACGCCGGTAACGCGGGTAAAGCCCCTCGGCCTCCAAAGGTATCATCCACGGTCTCTTCCGGGTCGTGGCCGCGTCACGTGATGCAGCCCGCGCCATACTAAATAAATAAATAATGGCGCCATCCCGTTTCGTGTCACGTGACGCGGCGTGGGGGGAGCACGTGCGCGCGCGTGAGGGCCCGTCGCGATACGACGATACGACGATATCGACGATATCCACGATATCCACGATAATTGGTGATATAAGAGCCGCGATGAACGGTGTGAAATCCACGATGCTCATATCGTACGATGCAAGACCCACGATAATCGGATTGTACGATATGGGATCCACGATAAGCTTATCGTGGACATAAAATCCACGATAATCGCACGAATCAAGACGGACGATCGCACCATCTGTTCTTGCGAGATATCGTAATATACTGATTATCGTTGATCTTTTCATTTTATTTCATATTGAATTTCCCGAAACACATCTAAAATAACAAACTCCTTAATTAAAGGTCTAAACGAACACTCTTTTTTTTCTAATTAATGCTTTGCAAAATGTGTTTCCGATTAATTGACGGAATGTCAATTATGACGTCATCCTTTGCGGAATTCAATAATAATTTCGAGTGTAATAGACAGCATTTGCCTTATAGATTGCAACGTTTCAATGATGAGACGACTGATTATGGCAGGCTTATGCTGAGTGAAGTGTACAAGTAATCATATTCGTAAGGGGAGGTTAGCAGTGCGCAACAACTGCAATAAAAGGCGAGCGATACAATTATGGGAAGCTGATCATCGCGATAGTGTCATGAAAATGAATATCGTATTGTATCGTGGGAAAAAATATATTGCAGCAAGCCAAGTTTGTGTAAAGACTAAAGAATGTGTACCAGCCCAAGGAAGGAGCGCAGAGGACATCCACTGGAGACAATCCCTGCAAAAGTATCGACCCCTTTAGAAATGTCAAACTAACCTATTATATATATATACACCCTGGGTTCATCCAGGATGGGCTGTCTGAAGAGGCTTCAAATATTTGAACGATCTGGACACAGTCTCATCAGTTGAGTACTTCGCAGACGACGGCTGCTTTGTACTGGGTCATATGGCCCGCATGCCGAGCCATCGCATGCCAAAGCAGTGTCTGTTTGAATCAGAATCATCAGAATCTGTAGTAATACTGGAGGAATCTGATGAGCTGTTAAGCTTTTTTTCACAGATGTCCAGCAAGGGCGGGTCAGGAAGTTACAAGTACACAAACACGATATGAGTGTGAAGTATAGGAACGGTAATCAAATGATCGAGGGGGTGTAAATGAGACAGCAAAGGCTAGAGACAAGGTGGGCTGATGTAGTACAAGAGGACACGATTGCACTGTGTGAAGGAGGCTCGTGAGAGATGCTACTGGGCAGATCTTCTCGCGTAAGCGTGTTGAGGGGCAGTCAGGCCACGACGGCATCGTCTGTAGTGTTCATTGCTCGAAGGGAGAAACTTCCACAACGTTCATCATTGTCTGCACCTGTATGCATTTCCAGTTTGGACAGGTCCCGGATTCCTCCCCTCTATCAACATAAAACCTCGTTAGCCGCGCACTGACCTTGGTCAGCATAGTCCCTGCACGGTGCGGCAGGTTGAAACCAGTGACGAGAAAATGGTGTTTTACTAATTGCTTTCACTTATTTACCCAGGAAAGCCTCACCGATTCGCATGCCTGTTTTAAGAGGGTCGGTGGAGGTGGTTTGGGTGATTTCTATGAGGATTTCAATCAAATTTGGCAAACTTGACCTACTCTTGCGAATGACGTCACGGGATCTTTAGCGTCCACTGTGAAGAAGACGGGGCGGTTGTATGTACGTACGTCAAACATCTTTCGTATCGTACGCAGCCAACCGTGCTAATCGGAGGTTCGGGTTAAACAGCTAAGACGCCGCTACATTCGAACCGTGAACCTCTGCAGCTATAGCGGCCAAACGCCCTTACCGCGTGACCGTGTCACCACCCTATCGGTGACCTCTCTGGTCCACACAATAGGCAGCAGCCCATTTCTACCAAAAAGCCCTGTGCCACTGACGCCAGGGTAACGTTTGACGCATGCCAGTGACAAAGATATATATATATTTTTTTAAATTCTTAGAGCTGCAAAATGTAGCCAAAGTGCAGAACCAAAGGTAAATGTCACGGGGTAGTTTTTTTATTCATTAATCGGTGACCGGGCTGAGACCATCGACTCGCTACCCTTGAGAACCCAGTTTTTAATCACAGGCGGCGTGCCTGCGAAATGAGCCCAGGCTCTCAGCGGAGCCCGATCAGCGCCCCGACCTTTGAACCGCGTGGCAACCTCAGGTCAATGATGATTCTTAATAAAGGCGGGTCCACATATTTTTGGCATATATAGGGTGGGAATTGGGCCAGCGTGGCTGTTAATTTTAAAGGAGGCTGCCATTTATATATATATATATATATGTGTGTATTCATTCTTGTTAAATAATTTACTGCCGAATTTCATAAAACTATGAAATGTTATTAGGCGTCTCGCCCAGATATGTGTGCGAAAGGGTGTGAAAGTGACCTGCGCTCGTATGTGTGAGAGAGAGTGCGTGATTGAGTGTGCTTGTATGAGTGCGTGATTGTGTGCCTGTGTGCATGATTGTGTTAGTGTGTGCGTGTTTTGCGGTTAGCGCGCTGCGCTACGAACTAGGCGACCCGAGTTCGATTCCTGCTCACAGCCAACGCCAGTGACGATTATTTGAACCGGTCCTGGGCCTGCCCTAGGTCGACTCAGCCTCAGATGAGTGCCTGGTACGGTGTGCAAACATCGCCACTCGTGAGACAAAGGCGGCCGGGTGGTGCTGGTCACCCACCACTCCCGTGTGCTGTTCTGGCCTTCATAGGTGCTCGCGAACAGCACTTGCCTCAACTGTGTGTTGAGGCTATGCGGGGGGATCTTTCCCTTTGTCTCTTTATAAACCACAGGCGCAAAGGCTGTTAGCTAGCACCTATGAAGAGCGGCACGGGGCACAGGTGTGTATGTTGGTGAATGTGTGTTCATGTGTGTTCATGTGTGTGGGGTGCGTGGAAGAGAGGTGGCGCAGTGATTGACGGCGCAGCGCTTGTGGAACCCGGCCCACCTGAGTTCGAACATCATCGACGGGTGACATTTGAACAGGCTCCTGGATCCGCCCATTATAGATCCACTCAATCTTAAATCAATGACAATCCCGGTGCGGTGTGTCCACCACAAGCGTTCGGGGGAGACGAAGGCGGCCGGGGGGGAGTGCTGTTGGCTACACCATCCGTTCGCGTACCGTTCCCACCATCGTTAGGTGCTCGCTAACAGCAACTTGACCCCAACAACCTGTTGGAGGCTACACTGGAGGTGGGCCAGGATTCTTTGTCTTTGTATACGTACGCGTCTTTTGAACGAGTCGCGTGCGGCAGCGTACGCCTCGGAAAGAAACGGTGATCGTAAAACAATCGGGACACCGCGCGGCCGAATGTAACAGACGCATTAAGCAATCGCGAGTGGTAATAATCGATGGCAAAGGCTGAGGCCACGTGACGCGCCCATTGAGTGACAGTGAATTGAGAGTCGTTACGTAAGAGACGGCCGGGGAAGATGCAACAAGGCAATAGCACCACCGCAGCAACGTGATATTAGAGACATTAAGATGTGTGTGTGTGTGCATCTCTTCACAGAAATTGTATAGATCCTGTATTTATACTCTTAGGTTTTTTTCGGTAAAGTCACGTATTAATTTATTTCTAGTATTATTTCTATTATTTATTTATTATTTATATTTTTCCTACGTGACTTTACCGACAAAAACTAAGAGTATGAATCCTTGCAGTCACGAAAGCTTCAAATCTAGAATTAGATCCTGTATTTATTTATTTATTTTGGGTAGATACGCAGTCAAACCCCCCCCCCCCCTCCTTAAGAAAAAATAAACCTTTGTTATTATAGATAATATTGGTCGCGAAAGCCTACACGTGTTAAACTGAGATACGTGTTACAGAAATGTTATTTTTTTGGCTTGCGGTTACTGAGATTCTCTTGCTACACGTACCGCCCCTGTTATCAGTCCACTGCTGGATGAGGGCCTCTGCACTCCGTGCTGGGTATGTGGGGGTTATTTGGCCATACTTCACCCCGCTGGTCAGTTCGGGTTCGCGCAACCGGCGAGCACAGCAATGGATTTTCATGCGCAGTCCTCCACTGCCCAAACACCGCAGCAGCAGCAGAAGAAGAAGCATCAGCAGCCTATTTCAAGTCGTACACGTGGTGGTCACCCACCCAAGCACTTTCCAGGCTCCAAAGCCTGCTTAGCATCCCGGATCTGACGGCACTCGTGATGGTTTGTTCGTAGGTAGGGAGATGATGTAAGGGAGATATTATATTCTTAGGTTTTTTCGGTAAAGTCACGTAGGTAAAACATTAAAAAAGTAAAATAAAATAAAAATCACGACGTTTCGGAGGCAACCCAAGCTTCCGTCCTCAGGTGGGACCGTCACAGCCACGACAGCTGTATCAAGTAAATGAGAGATTGCAGGAGCTACCACTCCGTTTATATAATGGTTGGAGAATGTGGTAGGGCAAGGACCGCATACTTTTTATTAATATGGTAAGGTGAGGCTTAATAAAAAGTATGCGGTCACCTTACCATATTAATAAAAAGTATGCGGTCCTTGCCCTACCACATTCTCCAACCATTATATAAACGGAGTGGTAGCTCCTGCAATCTCTCATTTACTTGATACAGCTGTCGTGGCTGTGACGGTCCCACCTGAGGACGGAAGCTTGGGTTGCCTCCGAAACGTCGTGATTTTTATTTTATTTTACTTTTTTAATGTTTTACCTACGTGACTTTACCGAAAAAACCTAAGAATATGAATCCTTGCAGTCACGAAAGCTTCAAATCTAGAAAGGGAGATATTATTGAGACAGATGTAGTGACATATTACACCCATTGTTTGGTGATTCTGGCAGTGGTGCACAACACACAAATGACATAAAAGCACTCAACACATTCGTCAATGACACTGCCTTAAAAGGACACGTAATAGGTGACGTTTCAGG